CACAAATCCCCTCCTCCCCCCCCAGCACCAAAACTTCAAGGCCCTGCTTTCTTTCTTAAAAGTACTTTAAAGGAGAATTTGTTTGTATTTTTTATTTACATTTTATATTTTTGTACATATTGTTAGGAGGTCCGCCATTTTTAAGTGATCTCGGATTGACCAAAAGGGGGGCTTTGAAGTGTATATCTCTCTTGTTACCTATCTCTGACTTTACTTGTGGTGTGACCAGGCCCAAACCATTATCTCAAAAGAGAATAAAACAAAACCTTGTAAAAAAAAAATTAAAAAAAGACAAAAATGCAAAAAAAAAAAAAATTACAATCTTATTCTGAGCATTCCAGTAACTTTTTTTGTGTATGTACTTTAGCTGTACCATAGATCGTGGTTTGTATGAGGTGGCAAGGCCAAAGATAAAAAGGTTTTCTTTTTTTTTTTCTGTCTATGAAGTTGCTGTTTATTTTTATTTTTTTTCTTTTTTTTTTGGCCTGTTTGATGTATGTGTGAAACAATGTTGTCCAACAATAAACCGGAATTTTATTTTGCTGAGTTGTCCTAACAAGGCTGCCTCCCAACTGCTGCTTTTTGTTTTAGTTTTCATTTGTTTAAGTTTTTTATTTCTTTCTTCCCTTCTTTATCTCCTTTCTTTCTTTGCTTTGGACTTGGGCTGGGAAGAGAGGCAGGGGTGCAGGGTGTTGATGGGGAGGGTTGGGAGGCTGTGCTGTCCCCCTGCTGCTGTGGAGGTAGGGGAGTTAGTGTCTTTCCATGGCTGTGTGCCTGTGGAGAGCTGCACCGGCACCCCCAGCATGGCCTCTGCATGATCCTGCATGCTCTGGCTGCCCTTGGCAAGAGGTAGGGATGGGTCAGGCTGGGAAACATGGACAAGGGAGTGTAGGGGACCTGGGTATGTTTGCTCAGCAATTCTGTCTCTGCAGCCAAATTCAGTGGCGAGTGTTTGGCTTGTGTAGTGGGGATGATAAATCCATCCCCAAAACCCTTCCTTGCAGTATCTGCTGAAGGTGCTTGACCCCTGGTTGTGGGGTGGGGAGACCTCAGACTGTGTAAATGCATTCCTACCCTTAGGGCTTGTTTGAGCATTGATGGCGGTGGGGCAGGAGTCAGTGGCAGCAGGGATTGGATTCAGCCAGAACTGGGCCTGGCGAGATGCTCCAGCCTGCACTGGTCACCCAGCAATTTCTGGGGTGCCAAGTTCAAGGTTCGGTGGTGGGACCCCAGGGAGACAGGCTCAGGTTTGTGCACTCTAACAAACCAGAAAGGCCATAACTTAGCCTAAGCCTTTGCTGCTTTGCTTCTAACCTTCCTCCAACTCATTTTTCCTCCTTCCTCCAGGAGCCTTGGAGCTTGGAAAAGCTCAGCCTGCTCTGCCAGGTGTGTGGAGTTCGTTTGCAAGAGCCTGCTTTGTATCTGTGCTCCCAAACCCTCACCCGGCTCCAGGGAGTCCCCTTTCCTACTGATGCAGGCTGTGCCAAAGCCTCACCAGATGGTCTCATTTCCTCCTCTCACGCTGCAATCCCAACAGTCGGTGTTCAGATGCTGGGAGATGATTCCTATTTTACTTTTTTTTTTTTAAAAAAAAGGAACCAATGTGCATTTAATGCACTGGCTGTGAGGGTCACAGCCCTTCCTGATCCCCAGGAGCAGCCAGGTCACTTAATCTGTACTTACACCTTAATTATCCAGTGAATTGTGGTGCTGGCTGATAATTCATGAGATTTACTGCCTCAATGCACAGGCCCCATCCAGCCCTGCCTGGATGAGGGGAGCTTGTGGCAGACAGGGCTGGAGGCAGCACTAGGTTTGGTTATCCAGTCCTCCCATGGGCTGTGACAAACTCTGCTGCTGAGTGTCACCGTGCTGCTGCGTGGGGCTTTGTCACGCAGTGCTGGGAGTCAGCGTCCTCATATCCTCACCATGGCTGCCCCATGCGTGGCTCCTGCATGGTGATGGGATGGGATCTGATGGGATGGGTGCCAATGGTGCAAGACTCAAGCTGGTACTTGTAGATTTGCAAGGCAAATTATTCAAATAAGCTTCTGCAGCTACATAGATGAGATCTGTCTCCAGGTGTCCCTGAAGTGTGGGGA